TTTTCTTATGTACTTGCAACAAGTACTTGCTCCTCTACTGATTAGACAAATCCACTTTGTAACTAGATTAACCTTACACAGCAACACATCTGCTAGCATCTGAGCATCTCTCTGTGCATGGTGCTATTCTGTGCCAGCTAATCCTGCTTGGAGTTCCCAGCCAGCCTTTGGTCAGATTGCCCTTCCCAGGCCAGCAAGAGTCACCACTGCCCAGCTCCTGTGATCTGGGAAGCACCCACTCATGCCCCATAGTCTGGCCCTACAGCTTTAGAACTGTTCCTAATGCAGTCAGTGCCGAGAAGAAAGGGGATGTGGTCTGAGAGCCGACTCTAATCCACATTCCACTGGACTCAGCCTCAGAAAAGGAGATTCTCCAAGCAGTGGCAAAGGGCAAATTTTAAAGTAGCTTTATGTAAGAGCTTAAAGAACTTGAATAGCCCACGATTACTTTTTTTTTTTTTTTTTTTTAAGAAGTTGATTGCCAAGCAGGTTTTCCCAAGAATCCACAAGCTCAACTAATAATGAGCACTTCAGCCCAGAGAAATAATATTTCCCTTACAAGGGCTACTATCAAAACAAGTTCTGCACAGTAGGCAAATTTAAAATAACTTTTAATTAACATTTAAGACACAGAAGTCTGATCATGCAAATTTATCTGTGTCTCCTCTCTGCTCCTGATTGTTCCTGATTGAATATGATAAAAATAGACTTTGTATGAGTCAAGTGTAGGCATGGATTTCTTTAACTTCTCCTCCCCTCTGATTATGCATTCCCCTAGATAAAGTGGAAACCCTTGGATGGCTATTAATGGTATCACGGGTCAGACTGAAAGGGCATCCTGCTTGATAGGAGATATAGGTTTCACCAGAATTAAAGGCATTCCTCTGTGAGCATTCCTTCTTGTGTGATGCTTCCACCTTGCATAAAATCTCACCTGAGACTATCCAGCATTGCTCTGTCTTGGATGACTTCTAATCTCTGAAATACCAACACTAATTTCATTGCACCTCCCCTGTATCTGAAGTGAGCATCTGGCCAGAGGCTCAGCTACAGATCTATATTAATACAGAAAAAAAGCAACTCGCCTGCACACAAGAGATAAATACATGAAGGGAGGAAGAGGAATTTCCACATAATTAAGACATGTCAGAGGACATGACCCTGTTATGAGTAACAGGGAGTCTGGATAACAGAGGGCACGCTGATACCATTACCTTTATCTCGTAACACTTCTGGAGCCAGTTTCCCAGTGAAACTTGCTATAAAGCCTTTGTAACACAGTCCAGTTAAAATGTCATTATTTTACACCAGCTGATGGTTTGGCAGATGCAAAACCCACCAAAAAATGCCACAAGAATGAACTAGCACAGCTAGCCATGCCCTAAGGACCATGGAAAACTTGGGCATGGGGGAAGAAACCATCCTTTTCTAAGGCACAGGACCCAGTGCCTGTGGGCAGGGCTGGCTGGGCAGGCTGTGGAGGCAGCATTCCCTCTGCTTGTCCAGAATTCCTATCCCTGCTCTTTGGTAGAGGCCAGAATTGCCTCTTTTTTGCTTCTGCAAGCGCCAATGTCACATGAAGAACACAACACAAAGAGCAGGCTGAAGTCCCCTAGCAAGCCAGAAGCACTTTCCTGGGTCACGGTCCTGCACTAAATCATTAAAATTGCCCCAAAGAGCTGCCTGTGATGTTTACAGCGTTTCGCAGGATGCTCCACTCCTCTGGCACAGATCTGATTGTGTTCCACTCCAGGGCAGTGTCTCACGAGACATTTCCTCACTGTTAGCTGCTCTCTGATGCTTCTCAGCATGGCCAGATAACATCTCAGACAGAGAAAACATTCATCATCACAAAAAAACAGAGCTGGAAATACTAGAGGAGGTCACCTTGTCCTCACTGTGCCCCAGCATCTTCCAGTTGGATGCAGGTAGTCCTGGTTGTGACTGCCAGGACTGGTCATGACTCTTGCTGATGGAGACTGGACTGAGGAGTTAACAGCAGACTTTAGTTTAAAATTGTTTCATCTACAGACTGTGATTTCCCCCCTCCATATAATTTCAGAGTACTTTGTAAGAGACGTGGGGCTGCTTCTTCCCCTGTTATTATGCAAGATCTTCCTCCCAGCCTTGCAGCTGTATGAAACACACATTGATCCACTCCCACGTAAGCAAGCAACCATTGTGGAGTTGTATCTTCAATCTGTACATGTAAGAATGTGTGAGATTTTATTGCTCTTTACCCACTTCTCATCTAGCACTACATTTTGATCAGCCCACCTGGCACTTGGGGTGTCACCCCCTCCTGGGGATGTGTGCTTCTGGGTCTCATGTGCCTGTGTCTGAACTTTCACATGCTCTTCTTCTGAAGAAGCATGTAGCTTCTTCACCCTCATGCCTGGTGTGCCTTACTGTGAAAATGCTCTGACTTCCTTGACCATCACAGTGGCTGTTTTCTTCTCTTCCATCCCCTTGTTAAGTTTTACACACACACATTAATTCCTG